ATTGTTGTAAATGTAAATGTATCTGTTTGCCACCTCAGTCAACACCAGAACAGATGTAGATCAGCATTCTCTAGCAGATGCCTTTCTCTTTTGCTGGTGGGTATGTCATTTCTATGCCTTCTCTCCTGTACCTTTCATCACCAAAGTAATTAGAAAGATTGACTGCATCCTCATCACTCTTTGCTGGGTGCATCAGCTGTAGTTCACCAAGGTCCTTTAGGTGTCCATGGGCAATATCTGTTGTCTTCCCAGGGGTTCCAGATTTCCTGTCACAACAATCCGGCCCGACCGGCAGAGGGCGTAGCCATTCTGGTGGGGGGCTGCCTTTGCCTCCATTGAAGGAGGAAGAGGCAGCACGTAAGCCGGGGTGGTAAGCACCAATTAATTACTTCAGGCGATAGGAGTTTGGCCAGATTAGCCTTTGGGTTGAGCGACCCAGGGAAAATACGGCACTGTAGCACACAGACCTTGGTGACTGCATGGATCAATCGGCTGCTTAAGTTCTACGACTTGGGGCTGGATCTCCAGGGCATGTCTTTCGCTGTGCCCACCAGTGGGGAGCCACACAGGTTGGCTCAAGCTGGGGGTGGGTGGCTCCGCATCCTACGACTGGGGAAGGGTCAATGCTGACCCCTGGCCCGGATCGTGCCACTTCACATATTTGCCCTTGCCGTTATTTTCAACTGTGAATTCAATAAAGTGGCCCATAGTTATCCCACTTTCCGTGTCTGACTCTTTATTCCGAGTATGGGGGCAATGGGGGAGGATTTTACAACCAAACTTACTGAACCTGGTGGCTTGGCAGATCCTGCTCCCAGATGCTTTGAAAGGGGTCCTCCTCAATTTCAGGAGACCTTCCACTGGCAAGCCTATGACTGTCAGTGGAAGCAATCTTTGCTTTCCATCAGCTGGTCCTCTGCGTTCCACTCTAGAGTACATACTCAATCTCTACTCTCTAAGATTAGTACCTTCATCTCTTAGGGTACATCTGCCTGGCATCGACCGCTCAATTTTCACTCAAAGGATTATTTCACTAAATAATCCACTTTCAGTGCACTTTCCAACGAGTCCATTCTGCATTGGCTTTTCCCTCCATTGTTTTAGCAAACTTTGGAACAGAAATTCCCCTCTGCAAACTTTGGAACAGAAATTCCCACTTTGTTCCTTGGATTTTTATGGTACCCTACAGACTGCATGTTGGTTTCACTTCCTTTGATCATCGGGTTTTTATGGTACTTCTGTGTAGATTTATGGCCATTTTATGGCCATTCAGGGGTTACTGCAGTCTGTATGGCATTGGCCCAGGGTATTGGAATGTGGTTTTGAGCTGCTTCTTTTTCTGTTCCAGTGTGGGTTTGGTAAAACAATGGAGCAAATGCTAGATGCAGAATGGGCCTGGATTTTACTGTGTGAACTGGCAAAATCTAGGCACTATGTCCTAGATATCAGAGCTAGAGTGGATGCATCCTTTGGCAGAGCTATGCTCAAGTATCTTTTCTGCTAAAAGCACCTTTATACCACCTCCAGGTATGTCAGCTTGCCAGTCTTACAGCTATCACTGTGATGCATGGAAAACATTAAGTACTAAGAATGGGTTACTTAACCTGTATGTTTTTCTTTAAGTACTCATTTAAGCGTTCATACAACCAACCAACCTTCCCCACAATAGGTGCCTTAACTTGCTGTGGCATGCTCTTACATTTTGGAAGGAACTGAGGGGCACGGTATGATTCCTTCCCTTTGGGCATGCACAGCCGGGGCTGCATTTCAGAGGGGGAGAGGATTATTGTATGCAAAAGCTAGAAGTTTCTGGGAACCAACTGAATGTCCTTGCCATTTTAAAGTGATTTGCTACAAGGCTTGTAGCGTGGAGCTCCCCCCCATCCCATGCCTTTTTAAGTGCCAAAAGAGGTTCCAGCAGATGTTTTGGCACTTGAAAAGGCATGGGATGGCGGGGGGGGGGGAGCTCTGATCTGCAGGTCCCATCAGGATAGGTCTTTTGAGGCATTTTAAAATTACTTTAAATGGCAATGCTTAGTTTAGTTTGGTTCTGGATTGTGGCTTTTTGGAGGTGCAAAGCTGCCCTTTAAAATCATCTAAGTGCTGTGTAAACAGGTAATAGTGTAAACAGGTAATAGACTGTGACGGATTAATTCCTTACAGAGCCAGAGAGCCTTGAGTGACAGGAATTTGATTGGTTAGCATTAGTTGACCAGAGAAAGACTTGAGAGCTGAATGCTGAGGAGAGGGCTGTCTGATTTAGCCCTGACTGAGAAGAGTCTAATACTGACAGAGTCTGAGTCTAGCCCTGACAGAGAAGAGTTTAGTGCTGACAGGGTTTGTGTTTAGCCCTGACTAAGAGCAGTGTAGCACAGTTTAACACAGACGAAGTGCTAGGAAGGTTGGCAGGAGTGGGTAGTTATGTAAAGATTCCCATTTAGGCCAGAAAAGAGGATGTGGGAGATGAAATTCCCTATCCAGTTGGAAAAAGGAGATCGCTCTGAGGAGTGGAATGATCCCTGGTCAGACGTGTTTAGAAAATGCCTTTTAAATCCTGAAGAGTCATAGGGGAAAAACTCAAGAGTACTGGTGTGTTTAGTGAAGGAGTTTGGGTACTGGACAGAATATCCCTGCCTTCTGGAAACCAAAAGAACCAAATACGCTCAAGAAAGTATACTGGAGTGTTTAGGAACCACTGAAACAAAAGCCTCTCCTCTTAAAGATTCTAAGTGAAAAGCTTAAGAAACTCTCAGTTGCTTAAAACATATGAACTGTAGTCTGTATCTGTACAGATGTATTTATTTATTTATCTATCAGATGTATACCCTGCCCTCCCTGCTGGAGCAGGCTCAGGGCGGCTTACAAAATTAAAACACATAAATAACTATTAAAACAATCATAAAACCTTCTAAAACAATCCAAATGATGTACAGTGGTAGTGCAATTGGTCTGGCAAAGTAATGCTAATGATATTTGGCAACGATGGCAGCAGTTGATGTCTCGTCCTATTGATCCGCTCCTCATTCTATTTCTTTTTCTGTGGCTGGCTCAGGCTGTTGATGATGACTCCGAAGGGCAGGGCTTGCCATTAGTTATTGGGGGGGGGGGCTGATGGAAGAGGTCTGTCTTGCAGGCCCTGTGGAACTGCATAAAGTCCCGCAGGGTCCTGATCTCTTCCGAAAGCTCATTTCACCAGTATGGAGCCACCACCAAAAAGGCCCTGGCCCTAGTTATAGTCAGTCTGGTGTCTTTGGGTCCCAGGAGGGTCAATCGATGTTGGGACCCTGACCGCAGTGCTCTCTGGGGAACGTGCGGGGAAACACGGTCCCTCAGGTATATCGGCTCCTGATTAACCTCAGAGTTCTTTATTGATTTACCTCAGACCTTTTACCCATGATTTCACCTGACCTTTCCCCTCTATGTTGAATAAATTATGTTATTTTTGAACTTTAAAAAGCCTCTTGCGTGCCATTTCAGTAATTTAAGTTAAAGAGGGAGACCTTGTCCTTTCCCTCAAGTCCCTGGGCTGAGCCAGCAGCAAAATATCATACAATGATAGGGTGGGACAGCCATTGTTCTTCACAAAAGAAGAAAATAGATACATAAGGCTGCTCAGTCAGAAAGGGAGAGAAAAACAGAGGGAAAATCTTGCCTCCGAGGGAGGGAAGTGGGATGGATCATCCTAAAAGCCAATCAGTGTGAATGCACAAATGATCATTTGAAGAACAACAGTTATAGGTAAGCAACTTGTTTTGCCTGTGACCAATTCCCCATTAAGAAGAACAATGTGTTTTCTATGTTCTCTCCGTAAGTCAACGTTGACTGTTATCCCAGAAGCCAAATCATGTCTGGTGGCAGCTGAAGGACAGAATTTGTAGGATGCCCACAGAATTCCAATCGGAGAGATTTTTGTTATGAAATGGTACAAAGTCCAGGCCAACTGTGTGGAGTAGAGTGTAACAAAATAGTACATGCAATATACAGCTAACATGATACAATGTTCCTGCTTTAGAAAATGCTCTCCTACTTTAAGCACACATTGTGAGGTGACCACTATCTGCTGTACCCCCTAAGTAGCCAAAGTAAAGTTCATACAGGCAGTAGTTGCAGAAATCTAATAATGCCTGTTGAAAGTTATTGCTAACTAAAACAGCTAGTCCCACTGTGAATGCTGTCTCTGCACAATGTATTTAGGTCTGTAGGCTGCTGTAGGAGTATGTGCCGATTATCATGTGGTGACTGTAACATGAAAACCAGTCTGGCCACAAATATAGCTACAGGAGTATTAGTAGTACTCCCCCCATCCCGCACCACAGTAGTTTTTTAATTAAAAAAAACTTGCCAGGTATTTGTGCTAATGGACAGAAATGCTCACTTTTCATGTCAGTACAGTTGGGACAATGAGCACTTTGGCTGGAGCTTTCAATGTGCATCAGCTCTGTCAAATACCTACACAGTTTAGTCACCAGAAAAGTGGTATCTGACCAGGGTGGCCTTAGTGATTCTGAGTCCTTGGACAAAAGTCCAGGATGGAGCTCCAGAATGAGTTCCACTCTGCTGCTGGACCCCCCACTGGGGCCAAGCAAGGGGTGGCCCTCACGGCTTGCGAGGTGGGCGGGAGCCACTGCTGCCACCAGAAGCCAGGTGCCTGAGCCCCAGTTGTGGCAGGTGCAAACAGCTGCAAAAGCCTGCTCTTCTCCCCCCCCTTCCCTGGGGGTGAATGGAGTGAGGCTGTGTACAGTCCCCCCGCAAGAGTGGAACCTGGGATAGCTGCCCCTGTTGCTCATTGGCTAAGGTTGCCCGTGACGCTGACCATCATATTTTTTTCCTGACCAGATTAGTAACGTGGTCCATTAAATTTGTTCACTTGTTTTGAGAGCTTAAAGCTTTGCAATATATATACATTATGTATGATCTCTGCACCTCAGGGCAACTGCAACCTGTGCTCCTTATTGTCAGTTGCATTTAAAAACACAACAACCCTTTGCTTCTTAACACAGGTAGTCGGGCGGGAACTGCTGCTCCATTTGATAGCCTTTCTGGTGACCAGTTATCAGCATGACCCTGTAATTACAAAGCTGGTTGATAACACCCGGATACACATCATGCCTTCAATGAACCCTGATGGATTTGAAGCAACAAAAAATCCTGGCTGTTACCCCTTAGAGGGCAGGTAGGAATTCAGACTAGGACGGAATGGAAAAATTGGGGTGTGTGTGTGTCATAGGGAATGCTTTTAATATACCTTCAAGCCCTGCATCACATCCACATAGGAGAGCTAGGCTCTCTTCCGTTCCTGGGGCCTTGAACTTCAGGAAGTCTTGAAATGGCATCTTTCTAGGAGATGGGCTGTCTTCATCCCTTCTGCATGTCTCTCTGACCCAATCAGCCTCATTAGTCTTAGACTGATTCCCCTATCCCAATGATTGATCATTTCTCACCCTTGTTTCATTTAACACTGAGCCAGTGTGGTGTAGTGGTTTGAACAGGACTAGTAAGTTACATTTACAGCCTTAGTTTATTCCCAGTTTCAAATCCCAGTTTGTAGGAAGAAAACTCCAGTTTACCTAGGCACCTCTTTTTGGACATCAAGGCAAATTAGATCTTGATTCAAGACTTCCTGTTAAATACTGGGTTCTGGACACATTGCAGTGAACAACTCTACTTTATTGTGTCTAGGAAGAAGGCCTGTTGTGGGAGTGAAGACAATGGATGCTAGGCTGTCCATTGGGGCGTGGGCCGCCTGGCCTCAGCCCTCCCCCCCACCAGCGCCACCAGATCGAGACCCCCCAGGCCAAGCCACCGGGGTTTGTCCCGCACTGCAGAACAGGCGCAAGCTTGGGCGCCTGGCCGCGGGCCCCTGCCCTTGCCCATCCTGGCTCGTTGAAGGCACCCAGCTGGGCGCCCGCCGACATGGTGGAGGGCCTGGCGGACCAAGCCGCCCAGCCTCATTGGGCAATGCCTCGGGTCCCCCGCCACATGGGCCAAGGCCCGTGACCTGCCCTCCCCACTTACCAGGTCCTTCTGTTTCCTCGCGTCCGGCACAGAGCCGGACGGCACACCCTTCGTGATGGGCTGGCTGGACCGCGGTGGCGGCTCGAGGCCGCCCTGAATGCCCCGGTGGCCCCCCCACCGCCTCAGCGGCCCAAGGTTGAGACAAAGGTGCCCGTCCTGCTGGGTGGCCCACCTTTCCCACGAGGCTGCCGCTCTGGGCCGGAGTGGCCAAGGCGCTCCCGGCCCCTTCCTTGCTTGGCTGTCCTGGCAGCTGGGCCAGTTGGGGGTGGGGGGGCCTCTGGGCGGCTTCTCCTGGGCAGGAGAACCCAAGGGGGAGAACCTGAAAGGGCTCCCTGGGCCCCTGCTTGCTCGATGACCTCGGCGGCTGGGCCGGGATGGGGTGGGGGGGATTTGGGTGGCCTCTCCTGTCCATCCGCCTCGGCGGGAGGGTAGGAGAACTAACGGGGAGGGCCACAAAGGGATGCCCGGCCCCTTCCCGGCTTGCTTGCCTCAGTGTGCGGGCGAGGAGGGGGCGGGGGGCCTCTGGGCAGCCGCTCCCGCTCGGCTACCTTGGAGGTCTTTCCACTTTCCCAAGCGCAGGCAGGGCCAGCGGAGGGAAAGACCACCAAGCAGGGCTCTCAGACTCCCCAGCTCAGGCCGCGTCGGGCGAGGGAAGCGCGGTGCGGCCGCCTCCCCTGTCCCCGAGCACAGCCAGTGCCAGCCGAGGGAAACCCCCCCCCCCGAAGAAGGGGTCACCACCTACCTGTCCCCGGCGGGCAAGGGAAGTGCAACGTGGACCTCTTGCCCGCCGTGGCTTTGTCTGTCTCTCCACCGCCCACTCGCTGCCCATTCCAGGGCCGCACGGGCCAAGACGACAAGGCTCGTCCCTCCCCCCACAGCCAATGGCACGCCAGTTGCCCCGAGCGGCAGCCAACGGGCCAATGGCTGAGGGAGCGCATTTTTTCTTGCCGCCCCAAAGGACGGTGGCCTCCCCTAATCCCTTTTATTATAAGGAGAGATTTCAGAATCACTACAAGGACAAACTCTAGGGCAGCTACACTGTTTTTAATCATGCAATCACCATACCCCAAACATACCCCACTCCCAACGATAAGCTATTTACATAACACTGTTTCTGTATTGGTCTACTCCAGGATCCTAGTAAGCTATTGTTTGGGGGAAACTTCAACCAGATCCAGGTACTAGTTCAGGGATGACGCTGGCTCAATACACAACACTTCCAAAACCAGGAGGGAGAAAGCCAAGAGGGAGTGTGCAAGTATGACAACAAGCTGTGTTTGTTTTTGTCACAGGCAAACAGATTTGTTATGATGTCTGAAGGTGGCATGTTTTTGTTTCCCCCTGTGGAGAAAATTGTAGCCCTGAGGCAGAGGCAATGGAATTTTCAAACAGTGCAGGGGAGGAGAGAGGGTTAAAAATGTCCTTCCCTGTGCTATCAATCAAAATTGGGGAGGACGCTTTACAGATACCATTTACAGTTAAAAATCCAGTGAGAGGTCCATACATAGTTGTCGTGTCGCTCTCATTTGCTTTGGAGGGAATTGTGAGCTGCTCAATTTCACAATTTTTTCCAATCAAAATAATTCATTTGTTACAGGAACATCTACCCATAGCAGACAAAGGGCCAAACTACAAGTGATCTTGGGCCTGCATCTATCCCATGGCCACCAATGCCATTGTGAAAGCATTTGTAGTTCTTTAAAAATGGCCACAAAGGCCCTGATCCAGGTTGGGTGCATGGTGGCCCCAGAAGTTCTTGTTCCCCCACACTTTTCAGGTGTCAAAATGCCTGTGTTTCAGCACTTGAAAAGGTGCAGGGCACGGGAGACAAGAGCTCCTGTAGTCACCACGCTACATGCCTGAACTGGATCAGGACCTTGGCACAATTTTTAAAGAATTACAAATGGTTTTAAAGTGGCATCCCGTGCTCGCCATCACTTGTAGTTTAGCTCAAAGCTAATGATTTGCAATTAGGGAAAATGTTTCTTATCACTGAGGTTGGTCTGAATATGCTACTTCATTGCCCTGTAGGCATACCCATATTATAAAACCACTGTTAAAGCTTCCATGACATTAGCCCAATTGTTAAGAGAAATTAATATACTTCCAAAATCAGGAAATAACACACATAGTTTAACAATGTCTGCTTGAGGCACATCCCCTAAACACACACAGCTTCAGTCTTAAACCAATTTGCTTGAACGGAAATTTCTCAGAGACATTTAAATAATAATAATAATTGTATCTCTTTAAGGTACAATAGTAATGGGGCAGATCTGAACAGGAATTTTCCTGATGCCTTCATCGGTAATCGTCACATAATCCAACCAGAGACTCAAGCAGTGATGGACTGGATAAAGACTGAGACATTTGTCCTCTCTGCCAATCTACATGGTGGATCGCTAGTCGCTAGTTATCCTTTTGATAATGGCAATTCCGGTAAGCTAAAATTTGTAGAACAGAAATAAATGTATTAGAGGTTCCTGGGTAATGTTGCATGAAATACATGCAGGTTAGACTAAGGCGTCTTCTGTGCAGGTTATGTGCCCTGAATTCAACAGTTTTGGAAGAAGTGGGGTTTTTTTCTTGCCTCCCCACAGCTCTGTGCTGTGTTCAGGCACTTCAGCTTTCCTTCTGATCTTTCTCAAACCTACTTTGCTTCGAAGTTTTGGGAAAGGTTGCAGTAAAGCCTGAATGGCAGCTGTGTGGGTGCATAAATTTGGATTTTCTGCTAACACTGGAATAATTTTTCCTGTTTCTGTGAAAGTCATTCCGTCCTGCCACTGGGTGGGCTTTCTAATTTTTTTAATTGGCACTAGAATATCAGTATGCTGTTATAACATAGACTAGTGCTGATTTTTTAAAAGAAAGTTGCAAAAGCCCTAGTGGCTCAGGGAAAGGGGGTGGCTACTTTCAGGGGACTGGGACAGGGAAACTGCAAAGAAGCCTGCCATGTGGCAGACCTGTTGATCTTATGGTTATCTGCAGTCTCACCAGCAACAGGAAAAACACAAAATCTGGTCCCTGTGTGGAAGACATCCCAGGCTATCTATTTCAAGGCTTTGGTCGGTCTCTCTCTCTCTCTCTCTCACTCTCTCTCTCTCACACACACACACACCCACACACACACACACACCCTCAACATATTATTTTAGGCTTCAATTATTAATTGTCTCACACATTAATCGAAGAGAATGTTAAGGTACTTCTACAAGAGAGAGATAACAAGTTCGATTCTTGCTTAATCTCTTTTCCTCGTTCCCTGTCTAATCTCCCCCTATGTGTCTCTGGTCCAGCTATTCATATGGAATTCGCTGAACAGTCTTTAGAAGGCAAAGCTTGGATGGCAACTTTAGGCTAACTTTAGGCTAAAAATTCTCTGTTCCCCCAGAGGGATGTTATTTGCACCTCTTAGCTAAGGATAACTTTCGAAGTTCATGGTTGCAAATGGTTGATGGCAAATTACAAAGTTTAGGATTTTCCCCTGAATTTTTTAAATCAAACAGACTATCCTGCTGCACGGAAGCAAATTAAATCTAGTGTGATACACTTGGATAAATGGAGTACAAGTTGCCGAGCTCGAAGGGTCTGTTCTTTGTATTATTTAGGTCTCCCGATCCTGGAATCTTTGCCCTCTTATTGTAAATCTCTGATGGTCCCCAAATATAGAATATTGTTTTCCAAGGCAAGATTAAATGCTTTGCCCCTTGGGGAACTAATGGGTAGATTTCTAGGGATTCCTTTTTCAGAACAACTTTGCAATTGTAACTCAGGCGATTTGGACACAATTTGGCACTTTTTTGTTGATTGTAAGAAATATAATATGGCTCGCAACAGATGGATTTCGGTGTACATTCAAAAATGGAGCCCTGCTACTAATCAGGAACTTGTAGCTAATCTCTTAGCTGATACTGATCCAAATGTGATGCTGGTAGTGGCAACGTTTTTATCTGTAACCTTGGGTGGAATTACATGAATTGACTCTGCCCTTTTTAGGTAATTGATGTGTATTCGGTAAACTAAACTACATACTTCTGTGAAACTGTAAACTGTAAATTATAACGTATGCTGTACTCCATTGCATGTACTATATTTTGTATATCTGCTTATGAGCTATTGGTCTATGAGCAATAAAATGATTGAACCGGAACCTACAAGAGAGAGAAAGTATACACATGTAGTCCCAGACATGATGATGACTAGAAAAGTACTAGACTGTATACCTCTTCTACATTTACACTAAGAAGTCTACCTTATGTCAGCAACCAACACTCCAGCAGTCAATAAGGCACACTGCAGAACCAGTCAATTTCTGGGTGGTGGGGTTTTTCCCCTTCATGCATCTCAATGATCTTTGGATGGAGAGGGGGAATTTGCAATGGCAGCCAGGAATTCAAACAAATTGAGGATTTTTCTTTCACATACTAACAATCCTTACACTGAATTTATAGTGATAGCCAGGACTTTATCTATGCTTGTATAATGCAAACTATATTTACTACTGTTGAAATATGTGTGCACACAGTGTATAAATATTAACAAAATGTCTACTGTGATCATCTTTCTACAGTTACTATTACTTCAGATGGAATTAGCAAAACTTTGGATAATGATTTTTTTGTGCACCTTGCAAAAACATACTCTACCAGCCATGCCACAATGCATAATGGGAAAGTTTGTGTAATTGGAGATTACTTTCCAGATGGCATTACAAATGGTTTTGCATGGTACAAGGTGGAAGGTAAGAATTCCGTCTCTTCTTCTATAGCTCTTAGAGGCTATCAGCTGTTTTTGTTTGTTTGTTTGCATGATCTGACAAATGCTTGACAGACGTCTGCTTTTAAAAAATACTGGAACATAAATCTCAAAGTCTGTGTAGTTTTCTCTCTTTAGTACTTTAGAGGCAGAGAAGATCAGTAAGATAATCCATACCGGACCAACCTTTGGGTAAAAATGCAGACATGAGTCTAAAATTCATTATTGAAAGGATTTACAGCACTAGGAGACACATTTATTTGCATTTTTAAATTACTGCCATGGTGCCCATTTGTCTTAAGATGATTTGCCAGTGTGTAGCTTTGAAAATATAGTAAATACAGTCTATGCTTGTACTTTGAAATTTGGCCAGCTGTGTTAACTGCATGCAGAGAAGTATAACAGAAAGCTTCAAGAGTGCTTAAACTGGTTAGGAATTTGTTAAAACCTATGGTTGGCTAAAATACACATTCAACTTCATTTCAGTATTCTGTTCCACAATAACATTTCTGCACATCACTATCATGTGAGAGAGATTCAAATGTGCTTTTTAGTGTCTCCTGCAAAAACCTTCTTACTTTTCCATAAGCAGTCTTGTATGGCCTGATGCCTACAGGAAGAGGTGAAGTGGAACTATCATTCAATTTCCCACTCATCACCCCATGAGAACCCCAAGTCGTACACCTACCTACTGCCGTTATGCTGTCAGCTTTGGCATCATAGTCTGGAAGAAGCCATATATGCTGTGTGGCTATTGCAGAAATGGCCCGACCAATAATCCACTATCCAGAAAGGGCCTTCTGTTGCTATCTTCCATCTCAAATTCCAGTCCCATCAGAATTCCTCACTGTCCAACTTCCTCATGCTGTCTTCTCACCTTCAGAGTTCTTTTTGCAAGAATCAAGCAGTTACGTTTTGTTAGTGATGTATTCCTAAATTTTGTTTCAATAGAAATCTAAATTTCCCTCTTCGTTTATACAGCGAAGAATTATTTTGGTATTCACCTAAATGTTTTAAAACCTTTAAACACCACTATATCAAATGCCTAGATAGCTGGAACATCTTTCCTGCACCACTTAAACAAATAAGACTTAGTGGAAGTGCACACCTGTGTGCGCATGACCAGCTCCAGTTTATATTAATAGGGACTCAGGAGAAATGCCATGTGCCTTGAATCTCTTGTGAACAATCAGCTCACTAAGGAAAGTCATTATGCATTGTGGTTGCTAATCAAAATTAAAATGACCTGACCATGGAGAGATGTTTTGTGTGTGTGTGTGTGTTTGCGGGGGGAAGCCTAAGGGTATGCTGTATGTGTGTTTGGGGTATAAGTGGGAGGTGGGAAGGCCCATGGCTCAGACCAGCTGCTTTGCATGCAGAAAGCCCCTAGAATCCCTTGGAACTCAACTTGCAATGCTGGGAAAACCCTCTGCCAGAGGCCCTGGAAACCCACTCCCAGTCAAAGCTGACAAATAAATAGATGGCCCAATGGTCTGACTTTGTATGCTAAATGAAGAGCAGCCTGAACTTGAAGTGGCTTAGAATGTTTAAATGCCTGAAACTATATTAGATACCTTTGAACTTTGAAAAGAGGGAGGTGGGAGACAATTACTGCTTACTTAGAAACTGGGTAGAATATATTGGCTGCACATTTTTTTCTTTATGTCTTTACAAATAAATAGGGTTGCCAGGTCCCCTTGCCATTACAGCGGGGGGATGTTCTGGGGGTGGGTGAGACATCACATGCAATGTCCCTGATGCAATGATGTCACCTGAAAGTGACATCACATTGGCAACATCACGCACAATGCTCTGGTTTTGGGGCAAAATCTCTGGGTCTTTTTGCTTCAAAACCATAAAGTTTGCCCAAAACCCAGAACACCGCTGTGCGACGTCACCAACACAATAACATCACTTCTGGGTGACATCGTTGCATTGGGGATGTCACCTGACAACATCCCTGTTTGTGGGGTGGGGTTTTCCCCACTGGCCAGTGGCATATTGGAGCCCCGAAAAGCAGGGGAACCCCTGCTGGGACCTGGGAGCTGGCAACCCTACAAATAAAAGAGGTAAATACTCTTTAAAAAGAAAAGAAAAGCTGAACATTGAGGAAATTACTGAAGAGAAAGGTCCTCATATCCTCCTCCTCCCCATGACTAGTGCATTGGTTTCCAGTTTCCATAACCTGGTGACTGGTTGCTAAACATGTGAGAGGGCATTGGTGGTGGGGTTGCCTCACACACTTACATTCCACTGTTTTCTAAAAGTGCATACAGGCAGCAATAAGAACATAAGAGAAGCCAATGTTGGATCAGGCCAATGGCCCATCTAGTCCAACACTCTGTCACACAGTGGCCAAAAATACCAGGTGCCATCAGGAGATCCATTAGTGGGGCCAGGACACTAGAAGCCCTTCCACTGTTGCCCCCCTCCCAAGCACCAAGAAGACAGAGCATCACTTGCCCCTAGGGATGCCAAGTCAAAAATCGTCGGGAGTGGGGGACTCCTGTCCGGCGTCCTATGTGCACGCACGCGCGCAAAGCACGCGCACACCACACGCACGTCACCAGGAAGTGACATTATGACACCGGGGTGGGGTTCCCCCTGGGGCCCGATCCACCGGCGGCAGGGAACGGGCCTCTGGGGCGGGGGTTTCCCCGTCCCCCGGGGGGACTTGGCAGCCCTACTTGCCCCAGAGTGGCCATGTTGCAGGGGATGGACTCTCCACTGTTAGCCTTGTGTTTGCATAATAAAGACCTGCCGTTCTTTTTAAAGAATCTGCCCACACCTGAAAGTAACCACCAGCATACTCTCTAGGTGAGCCTAGGCACAAGGGTTAGAAGCAGATGCTACGTAGTAGCTGGGGTGTACAGTGAGCTGCAGGTCAAGGTGGCAGCAGTGGAGAGGATTAAACCAATGTTGTCTTTTCTGCAGGCATACCACTGGGCTGCTGTTTTACACCAGACATGTTTGCTCATAGGAAAAACTAGTATCAAGAAACATGGTGCCCAGTACAGGTGAATCAGGCAGCTGGGGAAGAACTTTAGGATAGTAATTGAAAATGTTAATTCTTGTTGGAATTTCTACAACTTAATTAAACAATTCACTTTAGGTGGGATGCAGGATTACAATTACATTTGGGGACAGTGCTTTGAAATTACATTGGAACTATCATGCTGTAAATATCCACCAAAAGAAGAACTTCCATCCTTCTGGAATGATAACAAAATAGCTTTGATTGAATACATTAAACAAGTTCATCAAGGTAAGTGGTCTTAGGTGACTTGCACTTGATCCTAGATGTTATCTTGATAAATTTTATAGAACTGCTTTAAGAGAAGAGAAGAGAGAAGAGAAGAGATTGGATTTATACCCCGCCCGTCACTACCCAAAGGAGTCTCGGAATGGCTTACAAACTCCTTTCCCTTCCCCTCCCCACAACAGACACCCTGTGAGGTGGGTGGGGCTGAGAGAACTCTGACACAAACTGCCCTTTTTCAGAGCTAAGGCTTATCAGAGCTAAGGCTTGCCCAGGGTCATCCAGCCAGGTGCAAGTGGAGGAGTGGGGAATCAAACCCGGGTCTCCCAGATTAGAGTCCGCGCACTTAACCACTATATCAAATTATGTGAATAGAACGTTCTGTCCTGTTGAGTCCATGGACTGTGCCTACACATCACTAGATATTGTACTGTCATTGCACTGTAGCAATCATTTGCAGCTAGAGTGGCTTCTCTACACAGGATGATCCAGTGGCAAATCATTGCTATAGTGCAAGTCTGAAAGTGTTAAACCTGCATATGAATTCTATTAGTCAAGAACCAGTCCCCCTTACAAGTTTATGCAAACTGTTCGCTCTTTTTTCCTCAACATCATCATGTGTTGGGAATGGGACGCCCACCCATAATCTGATCGTCTTGTTTACTCAACTGGCTTCTGTTTTCATCTGTGTTCTGAAATAACACAACTATATCTTGGGGTACTCATTTCTCATAATTCCCCAGCCCTCCTTCTTGCTGCACCTTGGTGCCTGTATACTTCTCTCTGAACTCAGTGAACTCAGACTCCCACAGTAAATTCGTTGAGTCTTTGAGGTGCCACAAGACTACTGCTTTGGCAACCAGCATGCTAATATGGCTATCCCTCTGGAGTCCAGTATCTGAAACATAAATAATTTTCCCTAGAGAAAGACGTATGAAAATGGACAGTACCTGGTAGTGTAAAAAAGCTCATTTAGAAGGGATTTAGCAGCTACATTTGTCACCCTTCACCAGCAGAACACTATTTTAACAGGCATACTGTCTCCTGGCTGTGCCATTTTGTGTGTGTGTGAAGATTTTGTTTCTTTGATTCCCTATGAAATCTCTCCCTTATAATAAAAGAGTTTTGGGTGCCAAAGTTCTAAAATGCACTCCTTTAGTGTTAGGCCGAAAAAACTGCCACTCGGAAGACACTGGCTGGGTTCATTGGCTGCTTTGTGCAGTCCCGGCCAGCGTTCCAAGGTCATTTACATATGGAAGCTGATTGGACTACACTCCATTCCACACCTGAAACTCACCCCCCCCCCCCGCAAGGCAGTTGGAATTTTCAGTTGGGAATGATGTCAGCTGCTCCCTAGGCAGAGGCTGTGTGTGTGTGTGGGGGGGGGGG